GCTAGCCTCCCCCTGCCCCACACAATTTGTTTCCTTCTACTGGATCTTCCCTTGACAGTTTATCCACTGGCGTGGCATGTGATACTGTCACCCGCAACGGACCCCGTGCATTTTTACTATAATCTGTATTTTATGCGATACTTAGGAAAGCATCCCGTGTTTAAAAAGGGTGTTGGGCATGTGGAAAGGAAGCCTTTGCCAAGTCAGCAAGTGAAATATTCCAAGACCTGCCAACTTCTCCAGACTTGTCAAATTTGGCAGGACAACTTTGAAAGAAAAGAAAAAGAGAGAGAGAGAAGTACTCTTGTCCTTGTGGAAACAGCAAAGTAAATCAATATCAGTTCAAAGCTGCTGGACTGGACGGGATCCAGAATTGGCAGCAGAATTAGCACTTCTCTTTCCTGACCGGGGCTCTTGCGCCTGTGACTGCGGGAAAGCAGGCAGAAATTCGACAGATTTGCCTTTGCCTAGAGGGTCCAAGGTCGGGCTCCACCTGCGGAACATTATCGCAGTGGGAAGCGGGTAGGAGTTCCTTCGAATCCTTCCGACTGTCTCTGAAATGTGCATTTCATTCATTCGTTCCATTAATATCTTAAAGGTTAAGATAAAGGTTCCTTTGCTCGAAAGCCAGTCGAATCCGACTCTAGGGTTGCGGTGCTCATCTCCGTTTCAAAGCCGAAGAGCCAGCGCTGTCCAAAGACGTTTTCCGTGGTCATGTGGCCGGCGTGACTAAACACCAAGGCGCACGGAACGCTGTTACCTTCCCGTCGAAGTGGTACCTATTTATCTACTTGCAATTTCTTGCTTTCGAACTGCTAGGTTGGCAGGAGCTGGAACTAGAGACGGGAGCTCACTCCGTCTTGCGGCACCCGGGTCTCGAACTGCTGAACTACTGACCTTCCACAGCCTGCAGTTCAGCGTCTTAACCACTTGAGCCACCGCAGCTCCATAATAATTAATATCTTAAAGGAGGCTTAACACCAGCAAGAGTCATATACGCTCAGAATACAAGGCACAGAGCCAGCCCAAGATTTTTTTGGGGGATATGGTTGCCAACTCCAGGATGGGAAATTCCGGGAGATTTGGGGGCTCTATCTGATGTTGGGCGGCCAGTCGGACTCCAGACCGGAAGATCTGGTCCGGGCTTTGCAAGCTGTGGCTGGTTGGCTTAGACTGAGCCGGCTGAAGTTGAATCCGGCAAAGACCGAGGTCCTGTGCCTGAGTCGGGGCAGTTCAGGGGTAGGGATCCCACTCCTGACCTTCGGTGGGGCACCACTGGTGCCAGCGCTGGAGGTTAGGCGTTTGGGAGTGCTCTTGGATGCCTCCTTAGCAATGGAGGCCCAGGTAGCAGCCACTGCGAGGTCAGCCTTTTACTATCTTTTACCATCTTCGGCTGATCAGGCAGTTGGTTCCCTTCCTTGACCATGCCGACCTAGCAACAGTGATTCATGCGATGGTCATCTCGAGGTTAGACTACTGTAACGCTCTCTACATGGGGTTGCCCTTGTCGCAGATTCGGAAGCTTCAGCTACTGCAGAACACTGCAGCCAGGCTGTTGATGGGTCTCCCCAGGTGGGAGCACATCCAGCCTGTGCTGAGGACACTGCACTGGCTGCCAATAGCATACCAAATCCGCTTCAAGGTGCTGGTTCTTACCCTTAAAGCCCTATATGGCCAGGGTCCGACATACCTATGGGACCGCCTTTCCCTGCATATACCCCAGAGAGCACTACGGTCGGGGTCTCAACATCGACTGATCCTCCCTGGCCCCAAGGAGGCCAGGCTGGCTACTACCAGGGCCTTTTCCGTGGCGGCCCCATCCTGGTAGAATGAGCTCCCGGAGGAGATCAGGGCCCTGCGGGATCCGTTACAGTTCCACAGGGCCTGCAAGGCGGAGCTCTTCCACCAGGCGTTTAGTTAGGGAGCCGCCACTGCTATAGAGGCCCTTGGTCTTGACATCGAGCCGGCACCGCAGGAAATCACGAGCAGAACAACATCTGGGAAGTTGACATCTATTCTGAAAGCGAGCCGTCTTGGATAATTAATTAATTGCTATCACCATTTTGTGAATCTGTATCTGTTTTGTTGGGGGTTTTTTATATGATTGTATGATGTCTTAACTGTATTTATGCTTGAGTGGAAGCCGCCCTGAGTGTGCTTTGCGGGGAGGGCGGGGTATAAATGAGACAAATAAATAAATAAACCTGGGGAGGGAGAGGAGGTGCCACATAACGCCATAGAGTCCACCCTCCAAAGCAGCCATGGGATCTAATCTCTGTCGCTTGTCATAATTCTGACAGATCTCCAGGCACCACCTGGAGCTTGGCAACCCTCTAGAGGGTTATGGCTGCAACCAGTTACTGTCATTTAATAGGCTGTCCCTCCACCTGCTGACCTGACCCTATCTGGTATTAGGACAGGCCCGAAGAAGCTGTGGCTATGCTGGCATTTTGTCAGGGACAAACCTGGCCCTCAAGTACGGCTCCCCTCTCAATTTTCAGTCAACACATTCTCAATAATAAACGAGAGGAGCATTTTTCAGTATCACTTTCCGCGAAGCGCCAAGTAGAAACATATTTGAGAGTTTCTGGGAATTTCTGGACCGTCGCACCGGCCTTTTCTTTCCAATTGCATCAGGAAATGAGCTCTCGCAGCCCGCAAAGAAGCCGAGAATTTTGAGCGCCCTCCAACTCCTGATGGACAAATAATCCAGGTATTTTCTGCTACCATACATGGGCCTTCTGATGGACTCATACATCAAAAAACCCCAAACGTTTCGGCTCGCAAACGTCAGCCGTGCCATGCCAAAGACTCATGAATCAAATGTGGGAAAAGAGAAAAACAAGAGCATTCAGCCACTCACTTCCACGATGTGTGATGAAAAGCCCGTCTGGGACATCTCAAGGCCAAAGGATATTTCATTCTTGTTGGTGCCTAGAAATAACAAGGAGGCATGAAAAGACAGATCAGGCACACTCGGAAGAGGGAAAGGGTGAGATGCTACATACAGAAGAAGGAACAAATGAACCTCCCCTCTCCTTTGGAGTATTAAGGGCAAAATCTTAAAGCAAGTCCACTGTCAGGGTCCTTAGTCAGGTCACACAACACAGGGCTTCATGAGAAGATAACTGTTTATTGGTAGATCCGGTACTAGAGACACGTGTACAGCTTGCGTCAGGAATGGCCGCTAATACGAGGGCCACTGACTTATACTAGAATCAAGCATCCCCCCTGTAAGCATGAGCCAATGGATACATCTCCCGTGCACGGGCAAAGCAAGCAGGCAAAGCAAAAGCCGTTAACTTTCCCAGCCAAGAAAAACTGCAGCAGGAGCATCTACAAGGTCAAGCATAAGACAGCAAACAGTTGGTGAGCCAGGGAGAGCTGAGACGGAAAACGGGAGGGCACCCCTCCACATTCCAGACCTATGACAGGGCTACCTGACATCCACAAACTGCCGTGTGGCAGAGCGGAGAGAGTTCTGGACCAGGAACTGGGAGAGCTGGGTTCCAATTCTTACTCGTAGGGTTGCCAGGGAATCCCCCGTCCCTGCACCACCTCCGGCAGCAGGGGGAAAAATAGCACCAAAACGGAGAGGGGAAGTCATCAGCATCCCAACTTGCTGGCGTCACTCCCCTCACATCCAGCAGTGACATCGGTGCTTTGCGGAGGAATGCTGGGGATGCTGTGGAATTTGGGCAAAACTCTATGGTTAAATGCCCAAATGCCGGAGAGCCACCACCATAATCACGAACATGCTGATGTCACTTCCTGGACACACTGGAAGTAACACCACTATGTCACCACGGAGATCCTCCCCATCTTGTAAAGTCCCCCCCCCCGTCCTCTGCTGGCTGCCATGGGGGACCTGGCAACCCTGCTACTCTGCCGTGGTAGCTCACTGGGTGACCTCTGACAAGTCACTCTCTTGGTCTAACCAGGGGTCATTTCCTGTGGGAGCGCACAGGAGTGGAGCTTCGGCAGTAAGGAGCCCAGGGGGTGGGCACATGCAACAAGTCACAGCCCCTGCTCCCAGCAGCCCTCAGTCGGGCCACGAGAAGCAAGAAGCAGCCAGGTAAGTTGCAGAGCCCCCCCCCTGCCCTGGCCCGCCTTCAGGTACAAGCTCTCCCTCCTCTGTGAGGGCAGATCTGCCCATTCCCCCCCCCCAATAGCTAGCCATCCAAAACAGTCCAATGGAGCCTGAGCGGTGGGTGTTGCCATCTGACACACTTCCGGTGATGTCAGGGGGGCCTGGTATATGCAAATAAGTTATGCTAATGAGTTATGCTAATGAGCTCCTACACCTCTTTTTCTACGAAATGACCCCTGGGTCTAACCTACCTCACAGGGTCGTTGTGAGGGATAAAATGGAGGCAGGGAGAACAGTGTCGTAATGTTATGTAATCTTGTGTTCTTACAAGAGTAATTAACACGTGGGATTCACTGCCACAAGAAGGGGTGGTGACTACAAGGAGAGACCGTTTAAAAGGGAGACTGTAGAAACATATGGAGCAGAGGTCCATTAGTGGGCCTTAGCTGTAAGGTCTAGATGGAACTCTCAGTCTGGGGCAAGGGATGCTCTGTATTCTTGGTGCTTTGGGAGGGCAACAGTGGGAGGGTATAAATCCAATCTCCTCTTCCTCCTCCTCCTCTTTGGTGTAGTGGTTAAGTGCGCGGACTCTGATCTGGGAGAACCAGCTTTGATTCCCCATTTGTGCCTGGCTGGATGACCTTGGGCAAGCCACAGTTCTGATAAGAGGTGTCCTTGAAAAAGAGCCATTTCTGTCAAGAGCTCTCTCAGCCCCACCTGCCTCACAGGGTGTCTGTGGTGGGGAGGGGAAGGGAAAGGAGTTTGCAAGCCGCTCTGAGACATCTTTGGGTAGTGAAGGGCGGGGTATAAATCCTCCTCCTCCTCCTCCTCCTCCTCCTCCTCCTCCTGCTGCTGCTGCTGCTGCTGCTGCTGCTGCTGCTGCTGCTGCTGCTGCTGCTGCTGCTGCTGCTGCTGTTCTATGGGTGGTACAGGGACATCAGCAGGGGACAGTTGTCCTCACCGTGCATGGGTTGCTTGATCTATATGTATTTATGTTTGTCTGTCTGTCTATTTGTTTCTCTTCTTGTTTGTTTGATATCAAAATAAAAAAATAATAATCTTATGTGGGGTTGCTTGATCCCACAGACGTCTGACACCATGACATGCCACTATGTGACTGGTGGGTGTGGACAGTGTTGCTTCCAAGCCCAGTCCAGTTAGTAGAATAGGATTGTTTTGAGGTTTTTTTGGCCATTTCCCTTCTCTGCTGTGAGAAGACAGGATACCAACCAGTACGCCAACACCGGCTGTCCTGGGTGATGCGCTGACGTCTAAGCTGTAGGATGGGGCTGCCTTTGACCGGCAAAAAAATTGGTGCAAACAAGTATGAACAGCTGCAGTCTCGAGAGAGCAAGGAAAAAAAGAAAACTGGCACCTCTGCAGAGGGGGGAAACCCTGATTACTCAGACTTAATATAATTTCTTTTATAAGCTGGAACAAATTTGCACTTAAATTCACACCAGGGGTGGAATTTTGGCACGTCCATGGAAGTCCGCCACCTGCAAGGGCTTCTTCATTCTTTCCAGTGGCCGAAGCCAATCCCTCGGTGCGCTGAAATTAAATGAACGGGGGACGCCAGCATGCGGAAAGGATCGATGTATGCCTTGGAGCACATGTATCAGGAGGGGCTGTGGCTCAGTGGTAGAGCGTCTGCTCTTTGCGTGCTGAGGTCCCAGGTTCAGTCCTCTACATCTCCACTTAAAAGGGCCAGGCAGTAGGTGATGTGAAAGACCTCCGCCTAAGACCCTGGAGAGCCGCTGCCTGTCTGCGTAGACAACACTGACTCTAATAGATGAAGGGTCTGATTCAGTATAAGGCAGCTTCACATGTTCATATATGTATGTATTCTGGACCGCAGCAACTTTTGTGACGTGCACTTGGACTTGGAAGCCACAGCTCCGAGAAACCGAGTTGGAATTCTTCATTCTAAGATGTCAAACTACCCAAGCTAAGTATTCTAAAATTCCACTGAGTTCAGAAAGAGATAGGACCCCAATTAATTCTCCCATCAAAACAAATAAGCCTTAAAGGTGCTTTAGTCTAGTTAGATGGTATCTGCAATGTATATTTATATAAGCTGTTGTTGTAGATTTTCCAGGTTGTGTGGCCGTGGTCTTGGCATTGTAGGACCTGATGTTTCGCCAGTAGCTGGGATGGGCATCCTAAGAGGTATAACACAGAAAGACAGAAGAGACCCCCTCACTTCTGTCCACATACCATGCAGTTGTGGACAGGTTTACATCAGAACCACACAGTGTAGCATTCAGACAAGAATAAAATAACACAAAAGACACTGCAGACTTGGCCCACCTGAAAAATCAGCAGTGGCTGAACATAACCTAACTCAAACAGGACACAGGATCTTATTCCAAGACACTGAAAGGCTGGACAACACATCCAATTACCATGTCAGATTACACAGGGACAAATGAAAAATGGAAAAGAACTGTGACAATTTAGCGCTTAATAATATATTCATAAATCATAATATACAATAACAGAAATGTAAATAGAAATAGTGACTGTGCCCATCCTTGTAACAGATTACACAGGGAAGCCACTGAAATTCAAAAACATAAACACAATTTCAACAGGAAAGAAGACAGCTTAAAAATAAATAGGGCATGGTTTTCTGTCCTGAAAAACACAAAAGGCTCTACATCTGGCAATAGCACGAAAGATAAGATTAGAATTTCAACAGCCAATCCATATGCAAAAGAACCTCCTCAGGAAAGCTCCTCCATTAGCATGTTTCACCCTACAAGAGAATGGCTCAGCCCTACCCCACCTTCCCGAGTAGATACAAATTACCTGCCTACCATTTTTCTTCTCACCTTGACACAGAGAGTACTCCGTCTTTCTGTGTGATACCTCTGAGGATGCCAGTCACAGCTACTGGCACAATGTCAGGTCCTACAATGCCAAGACCACAGCCACACAACCTGGAAAATCTACAGCAGCTAATGAACTCCGGCCGTGAAAGCCTTCAACAACATGTATTTATATTATTAACATCTGACCCCCTAACTTGACTACCTGGCATCCAAAAGACCAAATCTTTCAGACGTCCATCTTCCTCGTTAGGAAGGAGGTCTATGGTTTTACACAGAAACGCCTCCCATGAACGACTGAGGCCCGATCCAGCTCTATTCATGTTCAGTTAGGCACGACTGCTGGTTCCATCTCAGGCTGCTGGAACACCCGCCTGTTCTGCTCACTCAGTGCCAGGGGTCATTTCCTGCAGGAGCGCACAGGAGCGGAGCTCCAGCAGTAAAGAGCCCAGGGGGTGGGCACATGCAACAAGACCCGCCCCCTGCCCCCAGCAGCCCTCAGTCAGAGCAAGAAGCAGCTAGGTAAGTTGCAGAGCTTTCCCCCGCCCCCCAGTCCAAGACAGTCCAGCGGCACCTTTAAGACCAAGTTGTTTTATTCAGGTACAAGCTCTCCCTCCTCTGCGAGGACAGATCTGCACGTCCCCCCCCAATAGCTGGCAATCCAAAACAGTCCAGTGGAGCCTGAGATGTTGCCTTCTGACACACTTTCGGTGTGATACAGAGCATTCTGCTGTGCCATTCTAGAGGTCAGGGTGGCCCCAAATTAACAGTGTGGGACCCACTGGCAACCCTGCCCCACACCTCCCTCTGCCATGGATGCCCAAAAGCCCTGATTCTCTCTGTCTTCTGCTGCAAACGCTTACCGGCAATGCGAATGTAGGGATGTGCATTCGGTTCATCCAAACTGAATGCACCCCCGAAAATGGCCCATTCGGGCTGCTGAGGGCCGATTCAGATTCTCTGATCTGAATTGGCTTGCCGCCGAATTTCCACTGAAATTCGGCGGCAATTCGGCCCCATTATATCCTATGGGCCATTGAAGTCAATGGTGAAAACATAGGGTATATCTTGGGGGCTAGAGGGGAGGGGGTTTGAGGGAGAGGCTCCAAACTCGCAGGGTAGCTGCTGGAGCCTCTTCCCGAGATACCCACCAAGTTCCAAAAACATTGGACCAGGAGGTCCAATTCTATAGGCCCCCAAACAGGTTGCCCCCATCCCCTCCATTGTTCTCTATGGTGGGAAAGAAAGTTACTTTCCCCCCACGGTGCTGTTAGTGGCTCTTGGGGGGGAGGGGGGGAGAGAATGAATATACCCTATGTTTTCACTATTGACTTCAATGGCCCATAGGATATAATGGGGCTGAAACTGACATTCGGCTGGCCAAAGACTCCCCAATCTGGTACTGATGAAACTGACATGTGGGAGTCTTACTGTCAGCCGAAATTGATTCTGCCCAATTCGGCGGAATCCGAATCAGCTGATTATTATTATTTTTTTGCACACCCCCATGTGTATGCCCATCCCGCCACTTCCAAGTTGCTACCACCCATCCAGCAGCAGAAGAAGATGATAATAGATTGGATTTATATCCCGCCCTTTACTCAGAGTCTCAGAGCAGCTTACTATCTTCTTCCCTTTCCCACAACAGGCACCCTGTGAGGTAGGTGGGACTGAGAGAGCTCTTTTGAGAACTGCCCTTGAGAGAAGAGCTCTGAGAGAACTTGTGAGTGACCCAAGGTCACACCACCAAGCTGCAGGTGGAGGAGCAGGGAATCAAACCCGGTTCTCCCAGAGTAGAGTCTGTGCTCCTAGCCACCACACCAAACTGGCTCTCAGCCAGCAGCTGGCTGAGGTGTAGGGGGGGGGGTCACAACCGCTGTGGCAGTCGAGTCCCGCAGGTGGCCGTGGGTGCTGGTTTCTGCCTGCAGATTCCCTTCCCCGGATTAGAGTACCGGTGATAACTACCAGGTAGATTTCACATCTGGATTATTTGTCGTTTTAGCTGTTATAAATGCCTGCTTCCCCAGATGCGAGTTCCAGTCCCACCACCTCCAAAGTCACTCTGAAGAAAAGCTCATCAGAGTCTTAAAAATCGGACAGTTTCAGAGGGTAGCCGTGTTGGTCTAGAGCAGAACAGCTCAATCTGCGTCCAGCAGCGCCTTGGAGAAAAACCAAGATATTCAGGGTAGATGCTTTGGAGAGTCAACCCTCCCCCACCTTCTGACTGAAATAGAAGGGGTCAGGGATTAATATTCCTGCTTCTGTCTGCCGAAGGGAGCTTTGATTCTCAAAATCTTATACCTCCAAAATCTTTTTGGTCTCTAAGGTGCTACTGGCTCAAAACTAACTGTTGAAACTCTGGATTTCTAAATGTGGAGGGACGGTTTTGAGACACAGATGCATACTTGGAGAACAGAATAGAAAGGGAAAATGTTGTAGGCTACTTTAGGTCCCAACTGGGGAGAGAACTGGGGTATACAGAGAGTAAATACAAGAAAATGTTTCCCCCTCTCCGATCTGTGCCAGCTCCAATTTCAAGTGCACCAGGGTTCCTATGAAATCCAGCCATTAACAGGACGCAGCCAGGCTTCTTCACAAAGCACAGCGGGCAACTCGGAGAACCAGACGGCCCCGGGAGATCCCGGCTTCGGCGCCACTCACCTTCCAGACTGAAAATCCTTTCACCGAGAGCATCGACGATATCTTTTAGAGCCGCTTCGTCAGTGACATTGAAGAAATGCTTTTCGTCGGGATCGCTCGCGATGAATTTTATTTCTTTCAGAAAGGCTTCGGGATTGATTCCTCGTCTGTTGTAATAACCGAGAACCTGGGATTGGGAAGCCGAAAGATAAATCTCAAGGATTTCCCCCCCCCCCGAATAAAATGCATCGGTCCAAAATACACAAGGACGGGGTTTTTGCAGTGCAAACAGTAAGACTGGAGATCAGTCAGAGTTCCGGGAGAACTCCACGCCCCACCTGGACGGTAGTAACTTTATACAGGTTTGCCAATCTCCAGGTGATGTAGAAACAACAGAGAGATCACGGGAAGGATGCAGACAATGAAGAAAACAGCCATGATGTAGTATTATGAACATATATATTTAAACTGCTGTTTTGCAGTGAGTAGTATTTCTTCAACAGGTAATCAAGATGTATGCACAGACACAACGGAATTTGCATGTATTCCCGTTTCACATGGCCGCTTTATCTCAGTGTGCTGCGTGAATAACATTAGTTTACACGTCAACAATACTAATCCATGAATTTAACACTCAACATTCTTCCCACTTCAATGAAACAAATTCTTAACATGCTCATAGTAAGTTAAGTTCAGGGATTAGTGTTGTTGACGTGTAAACTAATGTTATTCACGCAGCACACAGAGATTAAGTGGTCATGTGAAACAGGAATATATGCAAATTCCGTTGTGTGTGTTCGTACATCTTGATTAGTAAAGGTAAAGGTTCCCTTGCTCGAAAGCCAGTCGAGTCCGACTCTAGGGTTGCGGTGCTCATCTCCGTTTCACAGCCGAAGAGCCAGCGCTGTCCGAAGACGTTTCCGTGGTCATGTGGCCGGCATGACTAAACACCAAGGCGCACGAAACGCTGTTACCTTCCCACCAAAGTGGTCTCTATTTATCTACTTGCAATTTCTTGCTTTCGAACTGCTAGGTTGGCAGGAGCTGGAACTAGAGACGGGAGCTCACTCCGTCATGCGGCACACTCGGGTCTCGAACTGCTGAACTACCGACCTTCCACAGCCTGCAGTTCAGCGTCTTAACCACTTGAGACACCTGATGAAGAAACAACTACTCACTGCAAAACAGCAGTTTAAATATATATTTTCATAATACTACATCACGGCTGTTTTCTTCATTGTCTGCAATCTCCAGGTGACGGCTGCAGATCTCCCACTGTTACAACTGGTCGCCAGATGACAAAGGTCAGTTCGTCTGGAGAAAATGGCCTCTTCAGAGGGTCGACTATACCGCATTAGATCCTGCTGAGGTCTCTCCCCTCCCCAAACTCCGCCCTCCCATGGCTCCACTCTCCCAAATCTCCAGGTATTTCTGAACCCAAGGTTGGCAACCCTATTTTATCCCCCACACTGTACTGCTGCAGAGTATCAACTGTGTGTCTTAAATGTACTCCGGAATCCTCAGCAAGACACGGGGATTCCGTGGCAGATGCTCGGGAGTTTCCTGACACATAAATGCATGTAGAGAATGTCCTCTGAAGACAGGAAGTGTGAAAGTCACTGAGTTTTGAGAAGCCGCAACGTCTTTCTTCCTCCTGGGAATACATATGGGCGAACAAGGGGAAGAAGAGAGATGTCCGGAAACCCGGAACTCTTTTGCTGGAATCAGATGAATTTTTTAGCATTGCCTGATTGCATGAGTAGCCCGCGTTTCTCCATCAAGGAACTCAAGAGTCTGAGCGGTGCAGGGGCTGGACCCAGGGTCGAATCTCTGCTCTGCCACAGAAGCTTGCTGGCCGACCATGGGCCACTCACACTCTCTCGGCCTGGCCTACCTCACAGGGTTGTTGTGAGGATAGAATGGAGGACAGAAGTATGACGTAAACTGTTCTGAGCCACGAAGAAAGGCAGGATAGAAATGTTTTAATAAATAAATTAATAAATGTGAGTCCGCATAACGGGAATGAATGGATGGACAAATGAATAGCCAGGAGAATGTGTGTAGTACAGCCAGGAGATCCTATGATTGTCTGGCAGCCAGAAGTTCTAGCTCTTTTAGCATTATGCACCACTAAGTTTGGTGTATTGGTTAAGTGCGCGGACTCTAATCTGGGAGAACTGGGTTTGATTCCCCACTCCTCCACTTGCACCTGCTGGATGACCTTGGGCAAGCCATAGTTCTGACACAGCTGTTCTTGAAAAAGAGCAGCTTCTGTCAGAGCTCTCTCGGCCCCACCAACCTCACAGGGTGTCTGTTGTGGGGAGGGGAAGGGAAAGGAGTTTGTAAGCCGCTCTGAGACTCCTTTGGGCAGTAAAGGGCGGGGTATACATCCAATCTCTTCTTCTTCTAAGTGGAGAGCTAGACTTTTTTTAAAGGCAAAAGACATTTCAGAGGTGGTTTCCCCTTGCCTGCCTCTGCGTCACAACCCTGGCATCCCTTGGATGCTACCCTTCCTCTTCTTCTTCTAAGTGGAGAGCTAGACTTTTTTTAAAGGCAAAAGACATTTCAGAGGTGGTTTCCCCTTGCCTGCCTCTGCGTCACAACCCTGGCATCCCTTGGATGCTACCCTTCCAAATACTAGCCAAGACCGACCCTGTTTAGCTTCCAAGATCTGACGAGGTCAGGTGAGTCCGGGTTATCCAGGTCAGGGTTTTGGGAAATTTCTGGAGATTTGAGGGCAGAGTCCGGGGAGGATGGAACTGTACGTCACGTGGAGCTTACCGTGCAAACTCGATCCCGTACGCGGTCCGGGTTTCCGTGCCTCCCCTCTGCTCGATATGGCTGGCAGCGGCCACCACGTCCTTCACAGACCTGTAGTCGTTCAAGTGAAACTCGTGCACAACGTTCTCCCCGTATTGCACGACTCCAACCTAGGTTAAAACAACAACAACAACAGCGGGCCGGTTTTGAGGAGTGAGCCATATCTGGACGAAGAGAAAAGGTCCATTTGTCATGGCCAAGCCAAGCTTTAGCAGCGTGAGGTACGGTCACCCTGTCCGCCATGTCATTGGTGACCTCTGCCCAGAAGGAGGAGGAGGAGGAGATTGGATTTATACCCCACCCTTCACTCGGAGCAGCTGACAATCTCCTTTCTCTTCTCCCGACCCTGTTTAGCTTTCCAAGATCTGACGAGAGCAGGTGAGTCCGGGTTATCCAGGTCAGGGTTTTGGGAAATTTCTGGGGATTTGAGGGCAGAGTCTGGGGAGGATGGAGCTGTATGCCACGTGGAGCTTACCGTGCAAACTCGATCCCGTACGCGGTCCGGGTTTCCGTGCCTCCCCTTTGCTCGATATGGCTGGCAGCGGCCACCACGTCCTTCACAGACCTGTAGTCGTTCAAGTGAAACTCGTGCACAACGTTCTCCCCGTATTGCACGACTCCAACCTAGGTTAAAACAACAACGACAGTGAGCCGGTTTTGAGGGGTGAGCCATACCTGGACGAAGGGAAAAGGTCCATTTGTCATGGCCAAGCCATGTTTTAGCAATGTGAGGTACCGTCCCCCTGTCCGCCATGTCATTGGTGACCTCTGCCCAGAAGGAGGAGGAGGAGGAGATTGGATTTATACCCCACCCTTCACTCGGAGCAGCTGACAATCTCCTTTCCCTTCTCCTCCCCTAGGGGCGGATTAACCAGGGCTATTTTTGGGCACAGGAACGGAGTTCCGGATGGCTCCCGAGTTGGCCACGCCCAGCAGGAACTCATTAGCATAATAGGCCACACCTAACAGCAGACACTCATTAGGATTGGCTACATTAGGGGTGTGTGGCCTAACATGCAAAGAAGTTCCTGCTACAAAAAAAGCCCGGGGTTTTGACAACAAAGTAAACAGAATAAGAAGCAAAAGGTGGGTGTGGCTGGATGACCACACTTCTGGTAACATGGGTGTGTGTGGCCTAATATGCCAATGAGCTGTGCTATCAGGGGTGTGGCCTAATATGCTAACGAGTTTCTGCTGTTGGGTGTGGCCTATTATGCTAATGAGTTCCTGCTGGGCTTTTTCTACAAAAAAAGCCCTGGGATTAACCATGAAGCAGACTAAGCACGTGCTTAGGGCACCAGGGCCAAAGGGGGCACCACAAAGTTGGGAAAAGGGTGAAAAGGGGGGAAAAATGGATGAAGATTTGTAAAAAATATATATCGATTAATCTAGTGCAATGCACAGTGATCATGTGGCACCCTAAGGTCTTCTTCTATTTTTTTGTGGC